ACACACACACACACACACATATATATATACATACATACATACATATATAGTAAAGACCTTTGCAGTCAAACACATCAGTTTTATATAATGCTGTGATTAAACTGCGATTCTTCAGTCTCAGTAGGTGTCATACAGTTACAAGTGCTGTAGTGACCTCTGTTGGCATATAACACACTGGTTACATGCGAATTGCCTAAAGCAGTGCTTCTCAATCCAGGTCCTGACTGCAGAGTGAATGTCTCTTTTATTGAACGCATTTAATTCAGATCATCAGCTCATTAGCAGGGAGTGTTTCAGATCATACAGTGCAGAATGAGCAGGACTGAGAGCCACTGACCTGCAGACTCACAAAACAGAGGTGAGTTTGATTGAACTGTAAACGTCCTTGGCATATGTTTTACTGGAATGGAATAGATTTTTTCCAGGATAGATATCACCTGAAAATCCTGAATGAGTGGCAACTCTTTAATGCAAAGGACATAACTGCAACATTTAAAGGAGACATATTATGCCCCTTTTTACAATATGTAATATAAGTCTCTGGTGTCCCCAGAATGTGTCTGTGAAGTTTCATCTCAAAACACTTCAAAGATCATTTATTATATCATTTTGAAAACGCTGTTTTTCGTGCCTGTTTCTTTAAATGCAAATGAGCTGCTGCTCCCCGCCCCCTTTTCCAGAATAGAGCTGCGCCTTTACAGCTCGTATCTGCTAAAAACATCTGTTTTGATTATCATGTTTATCACACTGAAATCATGCGTTTTAAACCATATGAGTATAAACTTCTGATATACAGTTTTCTGAGCGCACACATCCCGCATTTGAACAGTCAATAGCAAATACTTAAACTAATAACAAAACAGTAGCTGATTCAGAAGCGCCAGATTGTCATAGCAAAGTCAGAATTACCTCCTCTCCTAGGTTCACGAAACGGTCGTCCATAAAATGCATTGCTGTTGTGTTGTAAGTAATCTTAAAGATTTCTAAATGCATCTACTTCTGGAAGGCCAAATAAAGTGCTTTTGCTTTCGCCTAGAAACACACAGCATCTCCCTGACATGCTGCTTCAACACTAACTGCGGTTACTGAGACCACACCTTCTTTCTTTGCGTGAACATTTGGGTGGCATTATGCTAATATTTCAACATAGTGAGGTAGATATGTGGGGCGTGTTAGAACGAGCCGTTTTAGGGGGGCGTGGCAGAGTCTTAACTTTGATAAAGAATATCTTCTCAAAGAAAGAATTTGCTTTTGAGACTTTAGTCTTTGCAACTTCAGGGATCTTATCTATGCACAATCAGCTTGTAACACTCCAAAGAGAAAGGAAAACTTGAAATCGTATCATATGACCGCTTTAAAAACACACAAGTTACAAAAACAATGGGTTATGACTGTGAAGGTAAACAGCTGGGAAATAAATTGCATGTTTATTTTAGATCTGTGTGGCAGCAGCAGCAATATACAGTAAATAAATCAATAAATGCACTGCTCTGTTGTCTCCTCTGAGGCTGGGACTCTAAACAGTGTTCTGTGCTCGTCTGTGCAGACAAAGACAGAACAGTTAGCATGTTTTGCTCAAACTTTCTCCATGGCATTAGAGCTGGTACACCGTTGTCGCTTGCGAAAACACAATGACGGTGCCGTGGATGTAAACTCACAGATTAAGGGGCGGTAATATTATAATGAGATCCCTTTGCCACGTCACCAAGGGAGCGAAATCAGACGCGCTCATTTTCTCAGACGCTTGCAGAAAAAGGCTTCCCAAAACAAAGTTACTGGCTTAATCTTTTTCATGTTTGCTTGGCTGGTAGATGCACCGGGGACCTGATTATAGCACTGAAAACCTGGAAAAGTCAGATTTTCATGATATGTCACCTTTAAATAAAAATAAATTTTCTTAGTGATTTGTGGCACTCAGAAAAATTAAAAACAAACATTCGCCTAGTCATGAAATACCTTGAAATATCAGCAAAATGTTTTTCAGATTTGGAAAAGTCATGGAAATTACAATAGTTTTGATCTTCTCTAAAATATTTCATATACTAATCATGTCCAAGAGTCAGTCAAGAGTTTATGTAGCGTAAACTTGCTTTCACGTCAAAAAGATGTTTGAAGTGTGAGTGTTTCCTCAAATTGTTACAATGAATTGGTCAAAATGATGCACAAATGGTCTGAATGATTCATTGCCAAATTGATCTGTATTGTTATTATTATTATTTAAATTTAATTTAAAGTTACATTTGCATAAACTATATTTTGTTTTTGGGTTTTGTGTGAATTTTACAAAACAAGTCACATTTTTAGCCCAGTGTGACAATAATTCTGTATGAAGAACTGAAGTATTTTCACAATTTAACCACCAAACTGTTATAGTATGACAAATAATATCTTAAAATTTCACAATTTTAAAGACTCTTTTTCTGCAACAGTTCTTAAAAATTAGGCAAATATTTTGTCATGAAAAGTACTTAATATATACATACCGTGCTGGGTAGATTACTTGCAAATTGTAAATTGCAAATTGAAGTCCGTTACTGATTACAAATTACATAATGAAATTTTTAGTTACTAACATACATAATCTATTAGATTATTCATTTTAGGTCATGTATTCTGACTACTTCTTGATTAATTTTAGGTTACTTTTTACCTATATCATTTATCCCATAGATTTGAACAGAATTATTGCATACCATATTGATATAAATAAATAAATAATCCATTCTTTATGAACAACATGCAGTGCATTAAACATCAAAGTCAGGGTTTCCCAGACTGGGGTAGAGGAAAAAAGAGGAATTAGGGAGAATCAATAAATTATGAATAAATGAATATTTTACTGCCATCGTGTGGATGATTTGTAATTTGTAATCATGTAATCCATAAAAAGTAACTAATTGGATTACTACCATTTTACAATGTAACAATTTAATTACAAATACTTAATTGTTGGAATCTGATTACCTAATCTAGGTTACATGCACACATATAAATATATATATATATATATATATATATATATATATTTATATGTGTGCATGTAACCTAGATTAGGTAATCAGATTCCAACAATTAAGTATTTGTAATTAAATTGTTACATTGTAAAATGGTAGTAATCCAATTAGTTACTTTTTATGGATTACATGATTACAAATTACAAATCATCCACACGATGGCAGTAAAATATTCATTTATTCATAATCTAGGTTACATGCACACATATATATATATATATATATATATATATATATATATATATATTATATATACACTCACAAACACATATACCTGTATATCTATGGTTAAGGTGAGTCACGAGTCATGTATTTAAGGTCACTTACTCA